ACAGGCCCATTGATTAAAATAATTGAATAATGTTATAAGGCTTTTTTTTTTTTAAAGCAGTCTGCTCATTTCTCTTTTCTCAAAGGCATCCAGTCTTTTTGATGTTTTGTTTCATTTTTAGTATTTACCATCTCTTTCTAAATCACATGCTTCCGTTGCTACTTCATAAGTCTTCAATTTTAGTCATTAACCTAGTGTTTTCCTGCTGTAAAATTTAAGGATTTCACTCTCACCTCACTGCTAGCATATGCATGTACATTTTCTGTCCCTGTATCCTGATGTAATTAAGTCATAATTTTGGTTGGATTTATTCATTTGACAATAGTTTTGAATGCTTTTGACATTCCAAGTGCTGTTCTAGAGACTGGAGGTAGTGAATGAAAGTAGTGAATAAAAGAGAAAAATCCTCTGTGCTCAAAGACCTTATAAATCTAGAGGATCAGTGTTTATATTTTGACCACAAGGTGGTAGCCAAGCTGATTCATGTGGCATTCTGTTGTTTTCCTTTCTAGTATAACTTTTGAATATCCCTAATGTGAATAGTCTTATGTCACTTGCTCAACCTCTTATGTACAGATCACTAATCCATCTCTAAGTTCTTCCCAACTCGGAGTACTTAAAGCTATCAACATCTATCAAAGTGTCGCTTCTTTGAGTCATACAGGCCTGATGTGGAATATATTTTGTATTTTTCAGCTCTCAATATTCTCTAATTACCATTATTTCTTCTTTGATCCAGGAGTATTTCAAAGATGTTTTAAAAAGTCCAAACACATGGCTTTTTCCTGCCTGTGGTCTGCCCCATTTCTCCTTTACTCTTACCACTGAGCCTGCTAGACAAATGCTGTCCAGTACCGGTTGTGGCCCGGGGATTGGGGATCCATTTAACATGACTTCTACATTAATATCTCTCACCTGAACCTCTTCACCAAGCCCAAGACTCATATATACTTGGCTTCTCCATTTAATGTGTCTAATAGGCTTTTCTCAAAGTTAGTACGTCAAACAGTACTCTCAATTTACTACTCTCCCCCAATAGCACTATCATTCACCCAGTTGCTGAGGCAAAAAACAAACAAACAAACAAACTAGGAATCACCCCTGGTTTTCTCCCTTTTCTCCTCTGCCATGCCTGCCCTTCCTACGTACAGTCAAATCCACTGAGTCCCAGCCCCACTCTCTTTACACACAAACTCCTTTGCTCTTATGCTAGTTCAAGCCAACATCCTTTCCGGCTGAGACGATGGCAACAGCCTCCCAACTGTTTTCACAGCATCTATTCCTGCTCTCTACAGTCCATGCTCCACGTAGTGAAAATTAGAGAATGTCATTTCCCTGTTCAAAACTCTGGTTGTTCAGTGTAATACTAGACTAAAACTCAAACATTGATTTTCAACCTTTGCTACACATAAGAGGGCTTAAAAAGATAATAGAACTCTCAGACCCTCACCCTGAGAAATTCAGATTTAATTGACTGAGTTGAGACCTAGGCATGATGGGTACTGCATCACTGTACCCATCACTGTACCATGTATTTTAAAACTCCCCAGGTGATTCAGAGTTTTAAATCCCTGCTTAAAGAGATCGTTCCCCTCCCTCCTCCAAAGTCATCTCCCACTGCTCAACCCCTTCTATCACTGGTCTCCTTGTTCCTTGAACATGCTAAATTTGTTTCTACCGCAGTGCCTTTGCACTTGCTCTTCCCACTGTCTAGGATGCCACTCCCAGCTTATTTTGGGCCTGGGTCTTCAATGATTTTGATGAGTTGCTAAATTAACCAACCGTGGCATCCTTGGCCATTTTTCCATTGTACGTGTCTTTTGCTGATTAACTTATGAAATCAAGGGATATTAACAATTTGTCACATAGTTTTACTTTGTCAACTTTTTTTCCTTTCTGCAATTTGTCTTGTTTAGGGTAGTTTTTCTATGTTGAACTTTTCCAGTTTTATGTTGTCAACTCTTATCATCTTTTTCCTTTATGGTATCTGACTTTTGGTCTTTCTTTAAAAAACCTTCATCACTCCAAGCTTATTATTAAAAAAAAAAAAAAATGCACCTCTGTTTTCCATTAGTACTTTTTTTTTTTCATTTAAAATTGTGATCAAAATGGAATTTTTTGGGGGGAAGTAAGGAATTAAATAATTGTTTTTTGTTTTTGTTTATGTTCAAATAGCTTGTCTCATACCATTTATATAAATTGATTCAAAATGTCATTTTCTTCATATACTAAATTTCCATATACAGGAATTGCATAATTTGCAACAAAAAATATATGTACTCATGGGGTAGCTAGGGAAAATGTGGGCCTTTAACAAAACACTCGTCCCTGATTGCAACAAAACTCATCTATCCTTAGCTCCCTGTACTGTATAGTACAGGCCTCTTTGACAAAAAAAAAAAAAAAAAAAAAATTATAAAGTATTGGAAAGAGTATTCCAAAGCCTCATGAACATAGTGAAAATGTGAGTCACATCATGCCTCCAGAAGTGACTAACAGTTGGTGACAGTGATAGGCAAATAGGAGAAGTAAGCACTCCCTGAGAAGTGAGCCACTTCCCAGCAGCCTGCAGTACAAGAGATGGCAAACTTTATCTGTAAAAGTCTGGGACGTAATTAAGGCTTTGCAGGCCACATGGCCTCTGTTGAAACTACTTAACTTTGCCATTATGGCACAAAAGCAACCATAGACAGAACATAAATGAGTGAACATAGCTGTATCCCAATAAAACCATGAACATTGAAATTTGAATTTCATATAATCATATAAAGTTTGATGTTCTTTAGATTATTTTTCGACCATTTAAAAGTGTTAAAACCATTCTTAGCTCACAGGCCATATAAAAACATGTGGAAAGCAGAATTTGGCCCATAGGCCAAACTTTACTGACCCTTAATGTAGTAGACACTGTGCTAGTTGCCCCACAATTCCTCCTCCCACCTCCATCATGTTGCAGCTGCTTGAGTTTAGAGGGAACTGACACTCCTAGCTCCAGGAGGAGCTTAATTGTTTTAACCCAATCAATTAATTCTTATCACCTTGCTAGAGTGACTGCTTCCAGACCCAAGCCAAGGTCAATCAGATATGGTTTTACCCTAGCCAAAGTGACTACATTGGGCATATGAAACAGCTCAGGCCAATAAGATGCGAGGGAAATTAACTGTGGCTTTGGGAAAAGATGCATCCTTGTTCTTCCGTGAAGACTAATGGAAGATACTCCTATCTCCCCTTCTGGAAGGTGTGAGAGTATATCAGCCAGGGTTCCTGGTTGCATGTGTGAAAATTAATAAACAGAAACTTCACTTAAAATGGAATTGGGAGATTAGAAGAGAGAACTCTCATGCACGTGTCTCTCAACAACCCTTACAGAAAGAGACATATTTTGTACAGGAAGTGATACTACTTTGCTATCTCAGCTGAAGGAAGAAAAGATTTCTCCTTGCCCAGTAACAGCTCAGTCGATGGGAGACTGCCATAACTCAGCCAAGAGAAAGTCACTGTTCTTCGAACTTTCAGTTTCCTCCAATGGACTCTTTTTATAATAGTCCCTCCTACATCCATAAAAGAGCAATTAGTCTCCTTTGTTTCTCTGGATTTGCATGTGGTTCACCATCGTAATTCTTTGTTGTCTCCAAATAAATCTGTTTTGCTAAAGAAATATCTATTTGTTTAAGTTCAACACATGCAACAGAAAATATTTAGGCTTTTTTATGCAGAAAAGGACCTTATTATAGGCATCAGGGTAATTCACAGAATCTCTGGGAGGACCAGGCTTGGAGTCTACACAGCCAGGAAGAATTTCACTGCAGAAGTGGTCCAGTAGACCATGGTGGAGTCTGAGCCATGTGCTAGGGAAGCTGGGGAAAGGACTGCTTGGTATTCATATGTGGAAGCCCTAACATCATGTGATATTTGGAGGTGGAACCTTTGGAGGAAATTATGTTTAAATACGATCATGAGGGTGGGATCCTCATGATGAGATTAGAGTCCTTATAAGAGGAGTGCTAGTTTTCTCTCTCCACCAAGTAAGGGACATATCAAGAAAATGTCCATCTGCAAGCCAGGAAGAGGGGTCTTACCAAGAACTGAATCAGCGGGCACCTTGGACTTCTCGGCCTCCAGAACTGGGAGAAATAAATGTCTGTTGTTTAAGACACCCAGTTTATAGTATTTTGTTATAGCATCCCAAGAAGACTAATATAACGCCAAAAGAGTGACAGGTGGCATTTTGCCACCATGAGGAAGCCAGCTTGGAATAAATCTGCCCCACAGACAGAAACCAAGTCTTACATATGATACCATTAGGGCCCTGAATGCAGGCTTCTCTGACATGTACTCTGTCTTGACACCACTGTTGCATGACATGATAAATTCCTCCCCCCCTTTTTTTGGTTGGTTCAACTTGTGTTTTCTGTCACTTGCTGAGTAAAAAGCATCTGCTGAGTGGTAAAAGGAAGATGAAGGGTCTCAATCTCAGAGAAAGGGAGAAAAGCTTAGAGTAGACCATTGACTTCATGGTGTATTAGTCAGGACTTTGGGTGCAAGTGACAGACACATCTTAAACGAATTTAAGCCCAAAAGGGGAAATTAATGACTTAGGGTTATTTACTTAATAAGTATCTATTGAGTACCTACTATATACTAGGCCCTCTTGTAAGCACTGGAGATACTGATGAACACAAAATAGATAAAATGTCTTACCTAATGCAGCTTACACGAGCAAGTAAGCAAAATATATAGTATGTCAGATGGTAATAAGTGCTATAGAGAAACGGCAGGGAAGGAAGATTGGGAAATGCTGGAGAAAGTAGTGCAATTTTACATAGATTGTAAGGGGAAGCCTCATTCAAAAGGTAACATTTGAATAAGGACCGGTGGGGGAGAAAGGAAGGAGGAATATTCAAGTTGAAATTTTTTCTTGGTAGACTCAGCCTCAGGAAAAAAAAAAAAAAGAGCAAGTGTAAAGCCCTGGGGCTGGGCGGGGGCGGCCCGTCAGAAGAACAGTGAGGAGGAGGCCAGTGTGGCTCCAGCAGGACCAGTGAGGGGAAGGGAAGAAAGGGGTGAGATCAAAATAGTACCAGGGCTCTGATCTTCATTTATTGAATATTTTATCTAGTGTCAAAATCACATGCCATCCTCTCAAGGGGAGGGACTCTCAAACCTGTAGGGAGCAAGAGAAAGAGAACAGAGTGGCAAAAGCACAGAAAAGCACCGTTAGTTGCTCTAGGAAGTTCACCTGCTAGGTCTATGAGCCGAGGACAATGGAATGAACCATTCTTGTTCTGCTGAGAATTCTGGTTTCATCCTTCCCGATTAACTAGATGCGGTTCAGTCCTGATGGTCCAAGCAGTATATATTATTTTCATCCAAAGAACCTCTCTTAGGAATCCCAAGTCTGGTTTCTTTTGCCAGGCAAGAATTGTGGGAGTGACGACTTTGGGGGGAAGAGTCTGAGCCTGGCTCCAAGAGGACTCTTGGCATTTCAAGACCTTCAGCTTTAAGATCCGCCCCCTCAACTTTTTGAAAGGGCGGGGCGACGAGAGCAGCTGTCACCTCCTTCTCTCCACCCCGCTGGCTCTCACGTGTGCCTGGCTGTTCAATAACAGCTCTTCTTTCGAGACTTCCTGATCGCTGCAACCAATCATAGCGTTATTCCCGTCCTTGCCATTGTCAGCCCGCTGCCAATCGGCGCACCTCTACCAACGCCCCTTAAAGGCGCCGCCTACGCCTCTCGAGCTGCGGCGAACCAGTTCCTCTGTTCCTGTCCTCAACTGCAGTATGGAGATGTCCCGGGGGCGGCCTGGGCCGGAGGCGGACCTTTTGGCTCTGAGGGGTCAGCAAGCCGTGATCTTCGGAGGCGGGCCGGGCCGAACGCCCTCTGAGCCGCCTTCAGGCCTCCGAGTGTCGGAGGAGGAAGAGGCCGAGAACGTTGGGGGCGCGAGCCGCCACCCCAGGGAGTCCCCGAACACTTCGAGCTGCAGCGTAGTCCACCCGTCGGAACGAGAGACTACAGAGAATGAGCCCGGCCGCGCAGGCACGCCGTCTGGGCCGGGGAGCCGCCGGGGGGAGCCGGGTCCCAAGCACACCCTGCACGGGTCCTCCCTGCGCAAGGACCCCGAGCCTCCCGAGGACAAGCCAGCATCCGAAAGGGTCCGTCGAGGCAGCCGGGGAGGCAGCGGGATGGATATTGAGCAGGAGGTGGAAGATGATGATGAGGAGGAGGAGGCGGCGGCTGGCAGGGCTGGCCGCTCGTTCTCTAGCCGCCTTCAGGACAGCCGCAGTCTGGATGGGCTGAGCGGGGCGTGCGGCGGCTCTGGGTCGGCAGGGAGTGCGGAGTCTGGCACCGGTGGTGGGCGTCGCGCCACCATCTCCAGTCCCCTGGAGCTCGAGGGCACGGTGAGCCGCCATGGAGACCTCACCCACTTTGTTGCCAACAACCTGCAACTCAAGATCCGTCTGAGCGGAGCCTCTCAACCACCGCCCCCTGCCCCGCCCTGTTCAGCGCCTGCTCCCACTCCGGCCATCCCCCCCATCGACCCCGAAGTGCTGCGGGACCTGGAGCGGCTGAGTCGGGAGCTGGGCGGCAGGGTGGACCGTCTGCTTCGCGGGCTGGGTGGCGCGGTGCAGGAGCTGACAGCGCTGAGCGTGGGCTGTATCCAGACCTACCGGGACGCCGTGGACTCCCTAGGCGAAGCCGTGGACATGAGCATCAAGGGCATGTACACCCTGCTGGCACGCTGCGAGGAGCTGGAGCGGGCTCTGCAGCCGGTGCAGGGGCTCGCGCGCCAAGTCCGGGATATCCGACGTACCCTGGAGGTGTTGGAGTCCCTGTGCAAGTGACCCAGGAGGGCAGGAGAGGCCAGGCCAGGCCAGAGCCCAGCAGGAGCCTAAGGACTCTTCAAGGAGCCCTGATGGGAACTACCGGCTGAGGAGAGGCCTATATATTAGAGGCTCTTTCAGATGCATTTAGGAGGTCCGTGACCACTTGCTTGTCCTTATACAGGTGTATATGGGGAAGTTCTAAAGTCTCTCTTGGTGGGAAGGGATGATGCTCTGCTTCTATTCAGTTGGCCATCTGTAGTACCTTGTTCTCCCCAACTCTCTTCCCTAGCTAAAGCACTGTCCCTGGGAACTCAGGGCTTCAGGTCTTGGCTTGGGAGAGCTGACTGCCATCTGTGATCAAGAAAGAAGAACAGAGGAGGTCTCAGTCCCCCACTGTGGCCACCTTGACTCCAGTGGCCACATCTCAGGTGCCAGGGGCTGTGAGAGCTTGATTGGTCCTTGGCCGCACACCATGCAGACAAGGATGCACACCTGCAGGATAACCTCCTGCTTCTGCCCTCTGGCCCCCTACCATCCCACTTCTTCAGCCAGAACCAGGGTGAAGCTAGAAGGAATGCATTGCATGGTAGAGGGAGTGAGTTGGAAGGGGTCTCACTGCTCTCAGGATTCAGTAGAAGTGTTGCTGGTTTCGAAGCTTACCTGTTGTGGAGTGTTCTAATCAGTTTTGGCTTTCCCAGTTTTTGTGGAATTAAAGCTGCTGCTGCTGCTGCTAAGGCTGAGGCTCTGTCTGTGTGGCGTTACAGGGATTGATGAGCCAAAGGAATGGGAATAAGGGTTTGTCTTTTTCATGAAGCTCCCTTGGGGTTGATGGTGGGGAGTGGGGTTGGGGGTCCCAGGCTACACAGGGAAGGATGTGGTTCCCGCTCTTAGGCAGCAGGTCTGAGGGGAAAAGCAGAACACAGATATGGGCTCAGAGATTCAGTAAAAGCAAAACCAGAAACAAGGTATTCCAGAAGAGAAAAAGAAGGGATTGTGTTCTCAGATCCTGAAGGGGACAGGCAGGGACTGGGCAAAGTGGACATCTTGGCTGTGGAGGAAGATGGGAAACACTTGTTAGCCCAATTCCTGGCCCCATTTCCTATACTGCACTGATCAGTGCCATATGTGTGGTTTGAGACACCCTTTGTTTCAACCCCCGGCAGCTGTTTATAGTTCACATATAAGTTCCAGCATTTGACCCTGTTATGGTCAAAAGATTTAGAAAAAGATCACAGAAAGAGCATCAGTTTTCTTGAAACTTCTTCCTCTCCCTGAAAATACTAGCACTTTAGACTGAGTTTAAACATACCTCTCTTTTTTATGGGAAGAGTTCCGGGATTGGAAACGGTGCTCCACATGCCTCTCCCGGTAAATGAACACAAGTATTTAAAAGAAAAAAAACGTCATGTTACTGGCCCGTACGGGGATCGAACCCGCGACCTTGGCGTTATTAGCACCACGCTCTAACCAACTGAGCTAACCGGCCAGGTTGTTTTTCACTTTAAATTTAAATTTATGTAGAGTTCGCCGTACTGATTAGTTCTTTTGAAAGCGTGTATATGTTTTGGAAGGCATGAACGGCACACGAAAACTGAATCACTGAACATTTCGAGAAGTAACAGCCACGCCGCAAAACTGACAAGCACAAATAATGTAACTATGGCGTTTGGCGGCAGGCCAAGGAGCAAATCAAGTGCTCAAGAACATATACGTAGCGTTCAAGAACACAAACAGAAATGAAAAACATTACTTGATAGCTCCCAGAGGATTCCCGGAGACAAGATGAATGGACCTGTGGGAAATTATATAGGGCGGATGGATGCCCAGAGACAATTATCTCGCAAGGTCTTTGCACAACTGAGAACTCAAGGAGGAACCGCTAGATTCAAAACCAGAGTCTCCTACTTATTAGGCAGGCGCTTTAACCAAGGCAAGGCGCCTAAGGCAGGAAATGTTTGCACCGTTTCCCTGGTCAGTAGAGCCCTGTGGCAGGTTTGTAAATGTGCAAGGGCATTTTATAACTAATACTGGAAAAATTAGTAGAAAGATATGGAAACTACTACCTCAGGTGAGAGAGAATGAAGGGGTGATGCATAAATTTAGTGCGGGCACGATAACGTACAGAGAAGAGGGAGTTTTAGTTTGGGATTACAAAACCTAGCGAAGGCACCAGGAAACGCAAACCGACGAGGATGGGATTCGAACCCACGCGTGCAGAGCACAATGGATTAGCAGTCCATCGCCTTAACCACTCGGCCACCTCGTCCTCGAACGCAAGTTCTTACGACACTATCTCTGTAGTCTCAATTCATACTCTTCGGTAAGAATGGATTCAAACACGTCTCAAAGGAAACTCATTCCTTGAGATCCTCCTCCCCAACACTACGAAGACAATTCTGGGGGCGCTGGCTGACTGAGCGAACTTCTCGCCTGTGCGATCGCCCGACCTTTCTTGCTCTGAGTCGAGCGTGCGCCAGTCTTCAGGAGCCCCTCAATAGGCCCAGATCTACGGTATCCATTCGGCTGCAGAGACCACCGCGAGATTGTTGGACTCCTCCCACGGGTGGGCGCGGGACTTCGAGACAGTAGCGCTCTCCTTCCGGTGCCTACAAGATGCTTCTTTTTCTACCTAGGCGCTCGAGCTCGAGTATAGTTGAAAATAAGGGGAATAAATAAAGGCCACTGAAATCCCCAAAGGGAAAAGGTCGCCTTGACCCCGACGTGATTTGAACACGCAACCTTCTGATCTGGAGTCAGACGCGCTACCGTTGCGCCACGAGGTCAGCCGGCCAAGGCCGTGGTCAGGTCCACTCATGACCACTTGGTGGCTACGCCTACCTGATTTTACAGTGCAGTGTATGCGCTCTCCCACCCTCCTCGCGAGACTAGCAGGGCTCACCGCACACAGGTTGGGCGGTGGCTCGGCGGGCTCTCCGCTCAGTTATCCCCACTGGCGTCCTGCTAAGGACCAGGTGACCCAGAGCTGGTTACTTGGGAGACCAGAGCTAACAGCCCAACAAAGTCGGACTTGGTGCAGAAACGGATGGAAGGCCGAACTTGATGGAGAGGTGCCAGAGCCCAGTGAACCTGAAGGGGTGAGAAATTAGCTCCTCCCGCGGTGCGATCCTCCCTGGATGCATGTTACAATCGCTTGCGGAGCCTTCCAAATAGCCACAGGTTCGGAGAGTCTAATATAAAAGTTCAGGGTAGAGCCCCAGGATCGGTAATTTTGTCACTTTTACAATTTCGAGGAATAATTTACGTACAATGAAATGCATAGATCTTAAGTGTATGTTTTGATGAGTTTTGACAAATGCAACCCACGGCCTTTTCAAGATATAGGACATTTCCTTCACCCTGGAAAGTTCTTTTATGTTCTTTCCCAATAGATCCCCGCCCTTCCCTTCCTAGGGGAAACCATTATTCCGATTTCGATCACCATAAACATCAGTACTTTTTGAAGTTCTCCTGGTGAGACAGAGCGGGAACCTCTAAAGAGCGATACCAAAGCTGGCAGAGAGACACCACCCCACCCCCGCCCCCCGCCACCCCGCTTTGCTTCTTGAAGGTTAAGAGGAGTTCAACAGGCCAGTATGGCGAATGAGGTCATGCTGTATCTCACTCCTTCCCTTCCTAGACAAATGTCTGAACTTACTGCACAGAGGCTCTCCCGAAAGATATCAAGCACCACAGAGACATCAAAGCCCGCAGCCATTTCTCAGGCCTGATATTCATTGATTCAAGACAACATTTTCTTTAAGAGCTTTCTCCTTTGGTTGTCATAACACTATCTGGTCTTCCCCTAGCTGTTACCTACCTCCCCAACCACTCCACATACACAGTGTCTTTTTCTGTCCTTTTCCTCAAAGTTCTGTCTTCTCTCCTCGCTCACCTTCCCTGGAGTAAGCTATCACCTGTGTACTGAGGGCTCCCACCTCTGGTTTGGAAGACCAGTGCCTGCTGCATAGCTCTATTTGACCCTGTCATTCTTCCTTCCAAGTCTTTCTGCAAGCCCAGTAATTAGCCTTAACTCTTCCCTTTCCCTCACTTCCCATTTCCAGTAACCAAGTCCTGTCAATTACATTTCCTTCATAATTTTTCCCTCAGCCCAAATTTCCCATTCCCATTGCTATCCCCTAAGTCTCTCTCACTGGCTTATTGTAACAAACCCCTCTGATCTCTCTGCCTTCAGAATAGTTGAAGAGAATCATCTTTTAAAAATGCAAACATGATCATGCTGTGGCTTAAAATCAGGATTAAGTCCTAATTTACTGTTTGGGCCCCCAGGGGCAAGCATTCCTTAAGCATGTGGGCTCTAGAACCAGGTTGCCAGGGTTCCCATGCAGGCTTTGCTACTTACTAGCTGTGTAACTTGGGCTAGTTATTGATCCTCCCTGTGTCTCAATGTCCCCATCTGTAAAATAGTAAAGATTATAATAGATCACTATTACTTTATTTACTGTAGATAAAATGCTCAGAGCCTGGATGATAACAATCACACGATTATTATGGTGGTTATTATTATTAACCTGCCTGCTTCTTCAGCCACTGCGTTGTCATTTCCTACGTACAACCATCCCGACTCATTTACAGTTGCCTAAACTCATCTCAGTGCCAACTGTCTCTGTGCCAGTGTCCTTGGTAGTATTGCTTGATGGTCTTCCCAGTCCCTTCCCTACCAGGCTGACCCTTACATACCCCTCAAGACTCAATTCAGAAGCTTCTTCCTCCCCACTTCCCTGCCCATATGGGGGAAGAGGCCCTGCCTGTGTCTCCTCCAAGGTAACACTTAAAATACTACCTTTTAATTGTTCCTTGGTGGTTTTCTTCATTATACTCTAAGTTACCCAAGAGTAGAAAATATGTATTCCTAGCACCCAGTACAATTCCCAGAATATAGTATGTATTCAATAAGTGTTTGTGAAATTAATGAGGGATAGCTTTAGTAAAAGTATTATCATGGGCAAGAGCCTGGCTTATAGAGGAAGGAGACATGCCTGGGTAGCTGAAGAGCATGAGGTGAGGTGGAAAATTTTGCTAGAAAGGGTAGTTGGGTCAATGAATATGGTACCAAGGACTTGTGGACTTGATCTCTAGGCTCAGAGAGGTTATGCAGCAGGTGTGAAGTATGATCAGCCCAGTGTCATCACTCACAGTACTCTCTGATGGTTAAATCTCCTCTATTCATCTCAATAGTTTCCACATTTTAGAAACCAAAAAATTATTCTGTCCAGAGCTGCATCGCTCACGAGGGTGGTGGCTATTCAACATGAGACTATTCAAATTAAATTAAATTTTAAAAATTCAGTTATTTAATCCCACTAGCCACATTTCAAGTGCTCAATAGTCACATAAAACTAGCTGGCTACCATACTGGACAGAGAGAATATGAAATATTTTCATCATCATAGGAAGTTCTGTTGAGCAGCACTGATCTAGAGCCTGAAAGCTTATGGCCTGAGGCCTGTATGCTATTACCATAAGGGTTATTTTTTTTCTTCTCATTTTTTTTTCATTTTTAAGTAGAATACTAATATTTATAATTGGAATAACAATCTGGATTTACGGTCTCTCTTTTAAAAAGCATACACACATACAAGAGTCCTGCAACACTGGATTTTGATTCCCTCAAGACAATTTACTGAAGCTGAGTAGTTGCTGCACCACTCCGCTCCCCGACTCCCCTCAACTCCTACATAGACTTGAGAGAGGGCATGGGCTCTCCTGAGTTTTGTTTTGTACTCCCTCACTTCACCCCACACCTCAAGGAACCTCATTTATATATTGCATTCATTTGTTGTGATCTACTAGAAGAGACAATACTAAAAGAGTAAAGTAATAAACCAGATGTTTACAGATTATAATGAGCACTAGTGAGAGGTCATAGACTGGTGTGAAGAGATCATATTCTTCTCAGGTCAGCCTGAGTTTGAAGCCTGGTGTCATCAATTACAGGATCTGTGACCTGGAACAGGTAAATATGTTGCTCTGTGTTTCAGTTTCCTTATCTGTGTCTCAGTACCACTGAATTGTATACTTTAAATGATTAATTTTATGTTATGTAAATTTCACATAGAAAAGATAAGCAACACTAATGAGCCAACTTGAAGAAGTTCTCACTGGTCAAAACAGACACTTTGAGCATCAAAAGGAATAACAACTGCAATGAACCGAAACATACAAAAGATGACAAAAATTACACGTTCACAATGATACTAAAAACAACTAATTTGTCACTTTTAGAGAGTGCTAGGGAACCAACCCATTATACTGAAAACTGTTCAATAATGGCAGGGGTGGGGGAATCATAACATTTATCCAGTCTTTCCCTTATGACCTGTAAACAATGAGTTGATGAGGGCACATTTTTATTATAGGAGAATCCAACTGATAAATGCAGGAGAAATGATAGAATTAGGACATCCACATTTTGCAACCTTTCATGAAATAATGGAGCTAGGCAGTGATGATCGATTAAACCAGTAGGTAAAAAAGTGATGGGGAACTTTATTAATGGCTGCCTCAGTCTGAACCCACTGCTCAGATTTTACAATAGGAAAAGAGAGACAAATAGCCATTGAACCCTCTAGCTGCGATGGACTAAGAACTACAAGCCACCACCCATGATGTATTTTTACCAGAAAATTGAATGTGAGACAGGGCATAGAGGAACATGTTAAATGACCCAACCAGAACATAGCCCATAAACAGCCCAGTGTCTTTAACAGATAAATTGCAAGAAAACAAGGAAGAAGGAGGAGGGAGGAAGAAGAACTTAAGATTAAAAGAGACTTAATAGACACATTTACCAAGTATAATGTGTGGACTTTACTTGGACCTCGATTCAAAGAAACTGTAAAAAAATGTTATAAGTGGGCAATTTGAACTGTTTGGTGATGTCTAGGATTTACTTCAAAATAAACTAGTAGGGCTGAGAGGGAGAGTATAGAGGAAGCAAGGTTGGGCATGTGTTGGTAATCGTTGAAGCATAATGGTAGGATTAGGGGATCATTATACTATTTAAAAATTTTTTACATGTGTTTTAAGTTTTCCATGATAAAAAATTTTTTTCTAAGTTTTTTATGACCAGTTCAAATGTTAGGACATGTGGATTCCAGCCCTAGAGTGAGTGAAGGACAACTGGTCACCAGCAGTACCGCCTATGACCACAGGCTGGCTCCAAAACTCAACGTTTTTGAGACTTCTCTACCACAGGCTTCTGTGAACCAAGGTCATGGAAAATGACAGGACAGAACTAAATGACTACTCACTATTTATTAATTCACAGCATAAAATGTGACTACCCAATTCTTACTCTCTAGTTGGTCCCCCAGGCAGGAAACCTGCTATAAGCAGAATGCCCCAAACTTCCAACTCCTGGAGCCCCAAATCTGTTATCCGTGACCCCTCCATTTTTCTCACCCACCCACAGCCCCATGTTCAGACCTTTTGATCTTCTAATGATTTCTTGATTCCTTATACTTTACTCTGCCTTCTTGAATACACTCTGGTTCCATCTCATCCTGTCCTTCCTGGACAACACTATGGCTTCTTCACTAGGCTTCTGCTTAAAATCTTAAAATTTGTTTTCCATGTTGCAGCCAAAGTCATCTTCTAGAACAGGGGTCCCCAATCCCCACGCCACAGACAGTTACTGGTCCATGGCCTGTTAGGAACCAGGCCGCACAGCAGGAGGTGAGTGGCAGGCTAGTGAGCAAAGCTTTATTTGTATCTGCAGACTTTACCCAGCACTAACATCACCACCTTAGCTCCACCTCAGATCATTAGGCATTAGAATATCATAGGAGCACGAACTCTATTGTGAACTGTGCATGCAAAGGATCTAGATTGCATACACCTTATGAGAATCCAATGCCTGATGATCTGAGGCAGAGCCGAAGCCGTGATGCTAGCACTGGGGAGCAGCTGCAAATACAGATTAACATTAGCAGAGAAGTTTGACTGCACAGAGATCATAATAAATCAATTGCTTGCAGACTCATATAAAAACCTTATCAGTGAGACCAAGCGCCCTTCATTAAAAGACAAGCCTTTGGAATTTTTCAAAAGAAAAAAACGTGAACACGAAGAACAGAAGCAATTATTGAAGGCCACACATTTCATCAAATGTGTCTGCACTGAGAGCATCATTCTTAGTGGCTAACAGCATTGCTAAAGCTAAGAAGCCCTTTACTATTGGAGAAAAGTTGATCCTGCTTGTTGCTAAGGACATTTGTCATGAATTTTTAGAAGAGGCTGAAGTTCAAAGGGTAGCACATACTCCTCTTTCGGCTAGCACCATAACTAGATGAATTGATGAAATAGAAGAGGATTTTGAGGCACAATTGTTAGGATGAATGAGTCACCATGGTATGCAATCCAGGTTGATGAGTCTACCGATGTTGACAACAAGGCAAGAATGCTTATTTTGGGGCGATATATTTTTCAGGAGGATGTGCATAAGGATATGTTATGTGCACTTTTGTTGCCAACCAACACCACAGCAGAACTATCCAAGTCTTTGATTACATATCAAGAAAACTGAATTGGTCATTTTGTGTCAGTATATACACGGATGGAGTGGCTGCCATTATTGGACGGCTTTCTGGTTTCACTATTTGGGTTAAAGAGGTCGTTTCTGAAAGTCAGTCTACATACTATGTCATCCATAGAGAAATGCTGGCTAGCTGAAAAATGTCACCTGAACTTAACAACATTTTGCAGGATTTGATTAAAATTATCAACCACATTAAAGTGCATGCCCTTAACACATTTATTCGTGTAGCTCTCTGAGGAGACGGACGCAGAGCACACACATCTTCTCTTATACACAGAAGTGAGAGCTTTCTAAAGGTAGATCACTGGCCAAAGGTTTTTTCTGTTTTGTTTTGTTTTTTAATTTTTTTTTTTTTTAGGTGAGGCAACCCTTGGTTGATCTCACAGATTGCAAGGAACTTGTCAGCTTACAATCCTTTATTTTTTATTTTTTACACCTACAGCACCTGGTCTTCCTAGGTGGTCTCCCATCAAAGTACTAACCAGGCCCAATCCTGCAGAGTTTTTGAGTTATGAGAGCCGCTCCAGAGATTTCTTTTACAAAAACAGACACCACTGGCAGTACATTTCAGTGACACAGAATGGGTTGCAAAACTTGCTTACTTGTGTGACATATTCAACCTGCTTAACCAACTCAATCTTTCACTTCAGGGGAGAATGACAACTATGTTCAAGTTGGCAGATAAAGTGGCTGCTTTCAAAGCCAAATTGGAATTATGGGGGCAATGGGTGAATATTGAGATTTTTGACATGTTTCAAATATTAGCAGAGATTTTGAAAGAGACTGAGCCAGAGCCTTCTTTCTCCCAACTGGTGAATGATCACCTATCTCAGCTTTCAAGAGTTTGAACGTTACTTCCCAACCACAAAAGACCCCCAAACTGGGAAGGAATGGATCTATGACCTATTTGTGAATAAACCAGGTGAATCAACTTTGTCCATGCTAGAAGAGGATCAATTGCTCGAGATGGCAAATGACAGTGGCCTTAAAAGTACGTTTGAGACAACTTCAAATCTCTATACATTCTGGATTAAAGTGAATAGCCTGAGATTGCCACAAAAGCACTGAAAAGCCTGCTTCCATTTCCAACGTCCTATCTTTGTGAAGTAGGGTTTTCTGCAGTGACAGCAGCCAAAACTAGATTACGGAGTAGACTGGACATAGCAACACAGTTAGGGTGTCACTGTCTCCCATCACCTAGTTGCAGGAAAACAAGCTCAGGGGTCCCATTGATTCTACATTATGGTGAGTTATATAATTATTTCATTATATATTACAGTGTAATAATAATAGAACTAAAGTGCACAATAAATGTAATGCACTTGAATCATTCTGAAAACATCCACCCCACCCCCGACCCCCTGCCCCAGTCTATGGAAAATTTGTCTTCCACAAAATCGGTCCCTGGTGCCAAAAAGGTTGGGGACCGTTGTTCTAGGATATAAATCCGACCATGTCCCTCCCCACAGCTGCAAGGCCTTACATAATTTGACTCTTGTCTATATATCCCACCTCACCTTGATCTTTTCTCCCTCTTCCATTGCTATACTTCAGACACACTTAGCTTCTGTTCTGTTCAACAAGCATACCAGGCTTGTTCCTACCTAAAGACTTTTGTCCTTGCTGTTTCTCCACCTAGAATGCTCTTCTCCCAAATTTTCACGATTGACTACTCTTCATTCTCTTTATTCCGGAGACCTCACTTTGCAAAAGGACCCAGTTTTTCCTCACTTTCATTATATGACAGTGCTTCCTTTGTGTGCAAACAGTCAAGACTTGATAAACTGTTGCTGGGGAAATTTGGCTCTGAAGGCCTGGGCTTTCTATTCTCGGGAGAAAAGGCATGTATGTAAGTTATAGGAAGAAAGAGGAAAAGAATGAGCAGCCTTCAGTCTTTGGATCTTGTCTATGTGCTAAGAATGTTTCTGTGCTTGCTGTGCTGTAATTTCCATGTTGGAGAGTCAGGAATCCCATCTCTCATTGTACTTTAGCTATCATCACTGTTACTCATTTTAAGGATCTCATAGTGATGAGGTTCACCTCAAGGGAGAGAAGCATTTGGGTCCACTATGAGTTTGCCTGTCTGGCCCGAGATGGGGGAGATTTGAAAATATTTTCAGAACTTTGAAATGGTTCAGCAATTAAAAGAGAGAAACTCCCCTACACACCTGAGTGCTGAGAAACCAGTGTGGGTAATATTTGATTATAAACTGATATTTTCCGAGTAGAAAATAAAGAACCTTACCCTTTATAAAAATAATTCCTCTGGAAAGTCTAAATGATTGCAGTTTTTATGTATTTTGGAGATCACATTGTCTCCATTATGAAGAAAAGGCTGTGCTGTCCCCCAAAGAGATGATTTTATCTGAAAATGTCATTACATGGTTTCAATATATAGGGATCTTCAATCCTAGAAATCATTCCTTCATTTTATAAAGCAACTTAATGTCTCAATGATAATACTGGAGAAGACCTGGAAGGAAAATTTTAAAAGGGCTTATCATATAAAACTTTATTTTTAAGTAATTTTATTTATAGAAAAGTTGCAAAAATACAAAGAATTCTCATGTACCTTCTTCAAGGCCATGTTTGCTTTATCAGTCTATCTCTACAGACACACATTTTTTATAAACCATTGAAAAGTAAATTGCAGCCATACCACTTTATCCCTAAACACTTTAGTATTTTCTAACAAGGACATCCTCTTCCATTAAGGCAGTAGAATTATAAAAAATCAAGAAATTAACACTTACTATTATCTTAGCTAGAGATCTTATTCAAATTTTGTCAGTTGTTCCACTAATGTCCTTTATAATAAAAGAAATAAAGTTGTTTTTTGTTTTCTGGTCCAGGATCCATTAGAATAATACATTAAATCTGTCATGTTAAATTTGTCATTTCTCTTTAGTCTCCCTTATCTGGAAGTGTTCCTGTCTTTGTCTTTCATGACCTGTGGAAACATCTTTTGACTACGTCTCTGAGTTTTGAATTTTTTCACCTACTGGTTTAGAAAAAAGAAATCCATTTATTGCACTTGGATCCTGGAAGAGAGAAATAGGTTTCCTCTCAATTTTTACCACATTTCCTAAAACAAAGGTTAACATATGATCAATTTTCAAAGAGCCTTTCCCTTATCAATATTGTTTCCCTTTTAAAAATTTATTTATAGCCCATATTACCATGCAGATTTGTTATTTGTTTGCATATTTGTTGTCTATCTCCCTGACTAAAATATAAACTCCACGAAGGTAGATATTTCTTGTCTTGTTCCTCAAGAACAGGGGCCCAGCTCAGTGCCTGGCACTTGACTAGCTGGTCAATGAATATTTGTTGAATGAATAAATAAATCAGAAATGCCTCTTAGACTCGTAGTTCAGACAGGCTTAAAAGTACGGAGATAGTGAGTGGAGAGAGAGCTGGTTCTTCTGGGAAGTAGGCAGGGAGGTCCCCGTGAGGATGGGATTGGACTATGAGCAATAATCGCAGAACTTTCTGTTCTTCAGGATCCCCTTGAGATCCAAAGGTCAATGAAGTTGCCGACAGTAAGAAGTTCTTGGACTGTGGATGGGCAAAGTCAGATGTCCACACCTTGAAGAGATAAGGAAATCAGAGCAGAGTCTGCGTCGCCGCCCGCTCCTTGCCTCCCAGGGACGCCGGGTACCATTCCTTTCCTCCACTCCCGGTTTTCCAGGCCCGCGTGGTCCACTCCCTTTCCAAAACACGCCTCTCATCCACATCTTAGTTCGAGAGAGCTGGCCATTTTCTGCACTTTGCAAATCTCTCACCAAACTGAACAAAGTTATCTGGGCAGTCGGGTTGGGCAGAACCAGAATCAAGGAAGGCTCAGGTCTGGGGTCCTCGAACAACCAGGGGGCTCCGTGACAATAAGTAACAGCTGGACAATCTAGGGGCACCCACCTCTCCACGTTCGGGTCCCTTCGTCTCCTGTGGCCTAGGGCAGTGGGAAGTTAGAGAGACGCGGAGGGAAGGGGAGAGACCGTGCATGCCTTGGGCATGACGGTGCCCTAAGTCCGGGGCGGGTGGTGACAGCGCTCTGTGGCAAGCAACTATTACGCGGAGGGTCATCCTGGGAAATGTAGCGCGGAATGGGGCCCGGCCGCTCCTGGCGTGGACATGGGGGAGGAAAGGGTGTCTCCGGGTTAGGACACGGCGAATTTCCGTTCGCCGGCCCTGAGTGGGCAGATTCTGCGGTGCCGGGCCCCGTCACACCGCACAGTCTCAGATGCCGACAGACAGCTCCGCTACGCGGAGGGAGGTAGCTACTGTTAGGAATCCTGCTGGGACCACCCCCAGCGGACCAGAGACTAGGGTTTACCAGGTGGTCCCTCGCGGCACGAGAACTTCCTGAAATCGCGAGATTTTCAGGGATCTGGTTCAAGCGCCCGCTTACGCGGTTGCTAAGGCAACTGGGCGGTGCCAGCGCGAGCGGGAAAGGCGTAAGTCGAATTTTTGTTTGCTAGCCTGGGAGACTTCAGGAGTGGCCATCTCTGAGCTTCTAACCCTAGAGACCACGGCTTCTGCTCCAGGAGGTGCCCCTACCTCTGGGGGCCATGGGCCGGATCACGGGACTCGTGCCCTCTCGCTTCCTGACGCTCCTGGCGCATCTGGTGGTCGTCATCACCTTATTCTGGTCCCGGGTAAGACCCTCCCGCCTCCATTCCCACCTAAGGGTAGTTCCAGCCCAACTCCGCTCCTCTTCCAGGGCCTGACCCAGTTGGGTCCTCCCATCCCCCGCCGCCCACCCCTTTCACTTTTCTTTCTTTGTGACATGCTCTCCAGGATAGCAACATCCAGGCCTGCCTTCCTCTCACGTTCACCAGCCAGGAATATGAGAAACAGGACATTCAGTGAGCGCTTGCGGCCGGGTGGTCAGAATTAAGTAATAGTGGGAATGGAGGGATCTTAGAAGAACTCCAAAAGGCCTGAGCCAACCCCCTTCCTCTCTGCAGGCTGGTGACAGCACTCTCTGTCACCCTGGGCCTCTTTGCAGTGGAGCTGGCCGGTTTCTTCTCAGGAGTTTCCATGTTCAACAGTACCCAGAGCCTCATCTGTATCCTTTCTGCCTGCGTACCTTTCCTACAGGGCCTATTTCCATCACGACTCCCTTCAGCCACCTGACTGGCCCTTTTTGGAACAGTAGTGTCTGTCCTAGCAGGCAAACAGTTCTCTCTAGTTGAGAAAACTTCTTAGATAATGCAGAAAATTTAATACAGTATGCAATTATTTGTTAAGCCCCAGCTATGCACCAGGCACTGGAGATCCCAAAATGGTATAAAACAGTTTTCTCCCTTGAGGAGGAACCTGTAATTCAGTGTGATAAACACTGTGCTATCAGAGTGTGTAAAAATACAAAGCACTATGGGAACTCAGAAAAGACAAAGTGAGGAAGATAGATCAGGGAAAGCTCTTGACAATTGAATTGTGGACCAGGAGGACCAGGGCACTGGAGAATGATTCCAGCGAGTGTATCAAGTCACTGTGAGCATTCTTGTGTTGCCTGGAGTAGATAGGGAGCCTACTCCTACTCATCTGAAGGGTTCAGGCTGGCCTCTAGATAAGGCATGCGGGTAGCCTGAGGTCTCAGCTTTGCAGGCTCAGCTCTGGCCTCTACTCATGGCTACTGGCACCGTGCCTTTGCAATTGGCAAGGGAGCAAGAAGTGAACCTGATGTAGATGCCAGCCCCACCACTGGCCTTTTCTGGCCCATCACTACCTGTGGATCCAAAGGCTTTCCTTGACTCAGGTGTGTTCTCAAGCCATCGGAGCTCACTGTAGTGCATCTGTGGCCCTATCCTTCTTCATATTTGAGCGTTGGGAGTGCACCACGTACTGGTACATTTTTGTCTTCTGCAGGTATAGTAACATCCAATGCTTAGGTATGGGGGAGGAAGGTTTACTCTAAATCCAAAGGTTTTCCCCACCCAGCCCTTTACTCCAATTATGAGATATCAGATCCACTGAGCATCCTGTAGTCTTTTGAAGTCCTGCCCCACCTATATTTTGGGGTGGGGTCTCTGGTTTGGGGATTTGGATATTTTTATTGGAAGGGGCCCTGAACCCACCACTTTACTTTCCACAGTGCCCTCCCAGCTGTCACTGAAGTGGCATTATTCGTCAGCGTCTTTGGGCTGAAAAAGAAACCTTTCTGATCACCTTCATGGGAACGTAGGGAGGAAGGCTAGAGGAGCAAGGGACCTTTCACCGTTCCTGGAAGGAGGAAGGCAAAGTCTTAGACCTTCCCCCTAAAATTTCATTTGGTGGAGAATTTTAGTGTTAATTATCTGTCGAGTTTAGGATTATCAGCGTTTTATTTGGTGCTTTGTAATAAAATCTATTTTAGAGTAAGATCGAGTCTTAGAAAAATTTCAGGGGAGAACTGGGGTAGCCAAACTACTAGGGAAACGGGAGGCTATTTTCCAGCCTTGCAGACTGTATCGCTTTTATTTTGGTTATTACGGCACGTGTCGGGCGGAAGGGAGTGGGCGGAGATATGTAAATAAGCAATGCTAACGTCTGTAAGCTCGTGGAGTGGAGCATTCTGGGAAGAATTGGTTTATTTACCATTTTGGCAGCCAAATGGTAAAAAGTATTTTAAAAGAGCTGCAAATCAATGGAACAACAAATATGGAAGATTCTAAGTACTTTAGATTGTTGAGGCTAACGCGTTATAAACTCACCCTAGCTTTTAGCGGAATCTTTTTCCCCGAGTATGGAATGCCCCTGAATTAGTATTATCGTCAGGTGGGATAATCCTTACCTGTTCCTCCGTTGGAGGGCAGAATAGAATGTGATGATTGGAGGTCGCATGAATCGTGATTATCGTTTCTGCGTGATCAGGGCTTGCAACACTCTGATTGCTCCTATCTGATTCTTCCTGACGATCACCTTTGTTGTGAGTGGAGTTTTGACTGTAATGCGGTGTGTTTTAGTTTTTTTGTTGTAATTGTGGACTTTTTTTTTCGTTTAAAGTTTTCTTACTTGGGTTTTTTGAGGTAGATTGTCTTTTCTCTGAGCTGTCTTAAGTGGTGGTTAAGTGGGCTTAAGTTTTGTATTTAAGTTCCGGGTTTTTTTTTTTGTGGCATGTTAATAGTAACTTTTTATTTTGAAAACTTAAATGAACAAAGAACGTTCTGAGTATCTCCAGTTCGCTACCAATAAAGCGATAATTAGTGTTGGTCATACTTGGTGTTACAGATGGTTTATTATCCTCACCATAGCAAGAAGGGCCACCGCCCCCAGAGAGTGTTTCCCTGGTGGGTGGAGCTCTCACCAGAAACCTGACAAACCGGTTGTTCTCAGGAGAACAATACCCCCCACCTCTGCCAGCTAGCACATGAAAAGAACATATTTAAAAGAAAGTTATTAAAACCCACTATTAGGCATTATACACACAAAGTACAAGAGTTTAAAGTTCTAACATGTCACAGGATGAATGTTCTTGGGGTCATGTTTCCTGGTTAAGTGTATGTTGAGAAAGTTCTCTGTATACTTTTTAGGCCTAAATGGTGGAACCCAGGCTGTTCTAAATAAGCTAAAGTCATCCAAGGAAATACTTTCTGTTGATGTATCCCAGGTGATGCCTTACACATGTATAAACTTTCTCTGATTATATGTTTCTTCTCCTGGCAGCCGTTCATCTTGAGCATTCATTCAGTACTGCTGAGCATTCATTCAATACTTAACACTTACTATAAGCAAAGCACTGTAGTAGGTACTGAGAGGAGTAGATGTGAATATGATCCATCACAGATATGGCTCATAGAGACAGACAAGAAACTATGGTACTACCAGAGTAATTTAATAGCAACTTGTGATAAGTGCTACAAAGGAGACTTATAGATGCTATAGAGAGGGATAAATTTGCCCAAGGTAGCAGAAATGTTGCTCCTACATGAGCACTTTGAGTGGCTGAAGCAAAGAGATAGGTAGGGGAGCAGATTGTGCAGAAAGGCAAGGAATGTGGACATTGCTGGCAGTGGTTAGGAGGCCTGATCAGGAAAGTCACACCACACTGCAGTCTGTTCTACCAATTTAGTGTGTTCTACCAATTTGTGAAAGCTGACTTTTCGTTCTACAGAAACATTGTGGATTGGTTGTTAAATACAGCTATTATCAAAAATCAAATTATGTAAATTTATAATTAAATTTTATTTTAAAACATAATAAATACTCAAAATTCATTACTTCCTGCTTGTTTTACTATTACATGCTCTTCAGGTTATTTACATTTTTCGTATCTGTATGATAGAGATACTGTGTATCTCTTCTGAAATCATTTATTGACATGTAGTTGATAGTTTGAAATTGGCCTTGGTGGGAGTATTTATACCACAGAAATTGGCAAACACAACATATCAGGCTTTGATGGTTGTCTAAATGTAAGAAAGCGATAGAGAAAATGTCTGTAACTGTTGCATTGTGAATAGCACAAAAAGTAAAGGAAATATTCTCCCAGGGTTTATAAACTATTATCAGATTTGCCCAACGCTTTCTCGTGATTAGATTGAGATTATGTATTTTGGGCAAAAATACCAAAGAAGTCACTCAAGTCATTGAGGAACTGGACATTTTGTTGTATCTTCATTTATTTTCTTTTGTCTTACTTGAAAATATAAATAAAAATATCAACCAGCATTCATGTTGGAACTATTCCTGTAGTCGGGATACAACTCCATTTATGAAATCATGGATACGAGAGTAGAATTTACAATAAAGAATATTATATGTATTATTTGTACATTTTGTGTTATGTATCCTTTATATCAGGAAAATTTGTAAAAAACTTATGTACATAAATAAATGGATACATTTTTTTGAGAGTTGGTCGTTAAACATTTGCCAGCATGCTCCTGCCCCTAAAATCCCAAGAAACTGCTCCCTTGTTCCTAAATCCAGAGGTCACTTCTCAGACTGTAGCTTGATCTTTTTTCAGCATATATGTTGACCACTCCCCTCTTTTGAAATTTTTTCTCCCTTGGCTTCTGAAAAATGGTTCTCCTCATTTACCTCCCACTGTTCTGGCTACTCCTTCTCAGACTCATCTAATAAATAACTGATTGAACACCTACAATGTGTCAGTCACTGAGGACATAATACTTGGTTGTCTCCTCCACTTGCCCCTTAAATATAGGTGGTCACTGCTCCTTGGGTGACTTCGTCCACCTCTTGTCTTCAAACACCAACCAGATGCTGCTGGTTTCCAGGTCTTGGCTCTCTTCTCTGAGCCCTAGCCCAGAGCAAAGGCTATGGGAGCAAGCCGTAGAGTCAATCCTGGGATCAAAGTGTACCTTCTACCCTTCTTGGCTGTGTGATCTGCAACAGGTCATTTAACCTCTCTGTGCCTAAATTCCCTCATCCACACTCCATAAATAGCTACCACAAGCACTATTTGTTTCTTGGTCAACACCAGAGGCTTTGCCAGTTAGCTGCAGAAATAGGTTTTCATTTTATTGTGAAATGAGTGGCTTAATCAGCATAAACCAGTCACAAAAAGAAATGTTGCTGTTTGCATTTACACGCGGTACCAAAGGTAGTCAAATTCGTACAGACAGAGAGTAGAGCAGAGGCTAGGGGAGGAGGGGATGGGGAATAATTGTCTAAGAGGTACAGAGTTTCAGTTTTGCAAGATGAAAAGAGTTCTGGAGATTGGTTGCACAACAGAGTGAATGTACTTAACACTGCTGAACTGTATACTTAAAAATGGTTAAGGTAGTACATTTCATTACGTATTTTTTTACCTTAATTTAAAAAAAGTAAATTGATTTAAAAAATTAAAATATCAGTGAGGAAAAGAGGGATTGGTCATTAAAAGTACTCAAAGAAGCCTTGATATTTTTAACGTTTTCATTTTGAATAATTTTAGAACTACAGGAAAACTGCAGAAATGGTATAAAATTCCTGCGTACCCTTCGCCCAGCTTCTCCAAATGTTAACATCTTGCATAGCCATGGTATAATTACTGAAACCAGGAAATTGGCATTGGTACAATACTATTAACTAATCTACAGGTCTTATTTGAATTTTGCCAGTTTTCCAACTAATGCCCCTTTTCTGATTCAGGATCTAATCCAGGGTTTCACATTGCATTTAGTTATCATCTCTCCTTAGGCTTCTCCAATCTGAGACAGTTTCTCAGTCTTTTTTTTACCCCGGCTGACATACTTAAAGAGTATTGGTGAGTTATTTTGCAGAATATCCCTCTATTAGGATTTGTCCAATGTTTTCTCATGATTAGGTTGAGGTTATGCATTTGGGTGAGAATACCACAGAAGTAGTTTGGAATGGGAAAGACATTTCTAAGTACGATAACAAAACAGAAGTCATAGAAGAATGATACATTTAAATACATATTTAAAATGTTAAAAGTGTACATGGCCAAAAAATCATTAGCAAAAATTAAAAGGTGACAGAAAATCTAGGGAAAATATTTAATTCATATTGCAGAGAAAGTGCTAATTTTGACATAAAAATCTACATATCTATAAGAAAAATAACAACCCAATAAAAAATGTACAAAAAATTGTGTGTGGACATTTTACAGAAAACATAAAGAACTCTCATATATATGAAAAGATGCCTAACTTCCTTTACTATAAGAAAAATGCAAATCGTGTTTAACTTATATTTGTAATGACCAAAAAGTTTCATATAGTTGGAGAGGGTATGGGTTTAAGCAAACAGGCCTAATCTGTTTGCTGATGGGAGTCAAAATTGGTAACACATCCATAGAGTGCAATTTGGCAATATCCATCAAAATCAATAAAAGTCACAAATACCCAAACACTTTGACCTAGGATTTTTGTTTCTAGGAATTAGCCCTACACATTTGCACATAGGTGAAATGGAAATTGTAGGTTGTTTTCTGCAGCTTTGCTTTTGTTGGCAAAAGATTGGAAACAATCTAAATGACAACAGGGGATTGGTTAAATTATGTTACAGGAAAATTGGGAAGATAAAAAAGCAAACTTAAGACACTGTTATGGAATGATATCTAAGTTACATGACAAAAATAAGGCACAGAACAGTTCATATAGTTTGCTTTCATTTGTGTAAAGAAGTGGAAAGCTATGAGCACAGAACATCTCTGAAGGAGGCACAGGGAACTGGGAGGACTGGTTGCTGAGGGGCAGAAGCTGGGTGGCTGGGAGGGTGGGAAAGAGACTTCCTACATATGCTCTTTTGGACTTTTGGAATTAGAACCACATACATTTTATTTAAAAAACAAAACAAAACTATAACATTTTAAAGGAATATGAGCCTGCAACTGCTTATGCTCCCTGTCTGGAAATGAAGCTAAGTCAGAGGCCAGCAGAGCTAGAAAAAGAAACACTCCTGCTGACATTCTGTGAACACCTGGATCTTGCTGCTCCAGTTATGTGAGCACTCAGTTTCTCCTTTTAGTTTAAATCTGTCTGAGCTGTGTTGGCAAGTGTCTTGATTACTATGTCCATCAAAGATCTTATTGTGTGTGTTTTTTTAAGATTTATTGATGCATACTTGACAAACATGCTGTTTTAATTATCTCTTTTCTTGTGTGTTATTGCAGCTCCTGATGCCAGCAGAATGCCTAGCACTGTAGAATGAAAGAGCCCTCATTTAACAAATGAGGGAAATGAGGCCCAAGGAGAAAGCCATTTGCTTCAGGATATCATGCAAATAGGGAGAGCTGGGACTAGAACCCAAATCTCCAGGCTATCAGGCCAAATCAACTGACTTAATTACAGAAGTTTATTGAGCACCCACTACCAGCCAGACTCTGAACTTGGCATATGATATGGAGGGAAATAAGGAAGATATGGCTTCTTGCCAGCTACATTATCTGGAGGGGGACTTCCCCCTGCCCAATAGAGGAGCTTGTCAACCCTAGTGAATCTCAAATGAGTGGAGGAAAGTTGAAGAGTGAAGGTTTGGAACCATAAGGCATCCTGGTCTACTAGTCCTAGAAGACTGACCTGCCTGTGTCTTGTCCTGCCCACACAGAGCTCTGGAATGCGGCTTCCCCACTGTCACTCCCATGCTACCTTGCTTCCCAGGGAGGAGCCTTGAGGGCCACGCCTATCCTGCTGCATTGACAGGAGTTGGCTCCCTGGTCAAACTGGTAGCAAGTAATTGGGGCTTCACCAGCCTAATCAGAGCTGTCTTCACAGAAACACTGGGCACACAGGTCTTGCCCAAACCCATCCTCTTCAATCAGATATCTGGGCGTTCACCATTAGCACTCCATTTTGCAGGCTGTGCTGGGCGAAAACACTCCTCATTGAGACTGTAGTTCACCATCTTTCATTGTACATTTGCCTGCCTTGTCTCTGGCACTGCTTGGTACTTGTACAGGGAGAATCATACAGATTAAGAGGCACCACTCTATGTATATATATTATGTTTTATACAAAAAAAAAAAACAAAAAAAGAAAACTTTTAAGAGATATTCTATATGTGAAAAAAAAGTTGATTAGCTAATTTAAAAAAAGACCCATCAAGGCATTTCTCTAAGCCTGGTTTTCCCCAAATGTAAAAATCAAGATAATACCTGACTCATAGGATTGAGGGTTGATTGATCATGGCAGGCATTTACAATGATGTTCCTAATAGCACTGCTGTAATAGCAAAGAAAACAACAGAAACTGGAAACAACCTAAAAGGTTGGTCCTTGAGAAACTAGTTAAACTGTGGTAAGAATTCTGTTTAAACATGAAAGATTGGTCATGAGCATTTGTCATCTCTCCTTGCCAAAGATTAACTAAATAATGAGAGAAGTCAAAAAGGTGTAAATCTACAAGGACAAGAGACCAGGAGCGAAGACAGCAGCGGACAAAAGATTTCAACAAGGCTTTGGAGGCTGGACAGGGACCAAAACGTACTGACAGGCCAAGCAGGGCAGAGGTAGTCAGGACATGGTGTCCAAAGATCCTGTAGGTCCTTAGACCCTGGGTCCACCCTGGCTGAATGCAGGGGTAACAGAGTCTATGTTCAGTGTTGAGACTCCCTCACCTCTCACACCTAAGTCACAGACACTACCCCTCCTTCCACATGCTTATTTTTGAGGAGTCTTTGAACTTGGGGACACCAGGCCCAGTAGAGGTGAGGATTGAGGCCAGAACCAGGAGCCCCACCCTGTTCTAGATCTACTCCCCCTTCAAGGACAGGAGATAGAGAATGGAGGATATTGTTCTCTCAAAAAACTAAATGGCCCCAGAGAAAGGCTGCCACCTTTCAACACTTGGGAGAGTCCCCCTGAAAAGGTTCCTCTGCTCCACATCAAAGCTGACAGCCATGAATGCCTCTACACACACATACACACAACCGTCCAGTCATCTTCTTGGTGACTCCCTATTAAATACAGAGAGCCAAAAACCAGCCAACATTTGAGGAAAGCCTCCAAAATAAAAGACATCCATATATATATATTTACATATATATATAAATGTCCTTTACATATTCGTAATGGAAACCACACACCAAAGATTCAGAACCGAAGTATATAAAATAAACAGAAAAGAACCAGAAGGAAAACCCACAAAAGCCAACCAAAATAAAGATAACAGAAACACAAGGGGGGGGGAAGCCAATGAAATAAATTTGGAAGAGACAGGAATACTAGGGAGCAAAAAATATATTATTTTAAATCTATAATTGGAAAAATGGAAGGGGCAACAATACATATAACCTGTTAGCATTTGTCTTTTAAAAAAGAATCTACAAGTATTTACAAGAATAGAGACAGTAGCTGTGTCAGGTAGGGGTCCTGGGCAGCTCAGAACCGGGGTTTGCTGTACACTCCTTTGTACCTCTTGAATTTTGATTGTGATACCTATTACCTAGTTTAAAATCTAATATTGAATTTTAAAAATAGTATCTATGGAGAGGATATTGCATTTTGGAAATTAAAAAAATAAATAAATGTAACAAAAGGTTTTTTCCCCTTGAAAGGAGGATACATGAAAATTTCCAGAAAGAAAAGCAAAAAGACAAATGAGTTGGTGGGGGGCGGGGGGGGGGTCCACTAAAGGAACCTCAGCTTAATGTGTAATGTCTTAATATTTTGCAAGGAGAATGCAGTCACATTATTTGTGTAATTAAAAAACTGAGCACACGTGGCAATCCCTGTAAAGCCTCTGGCACACAGTAGGTCCCTAGTACTTTCTTTTCCCTTCATGAGCCCAGGGCTTGGCAGGCAGCCCCTGACTTGGCAGCCAGAGCCTTCCTGACTTGGAGGGCTCAGCCAGAGGTTTGGACTTGATTGGGATGGTGGTGGGGGTATCCCCCTCAGCCCCCATTCCAGGCAACATTCCCAAGGGCATGCTTCTATTCCTAATTAGAAGGCCTTGATTTACAAGCTGCCTTGGTGGGTAGACACAGTCTAAATTTAATTACTAGTTCGGTAGGGTAGAACTCGTGGATGGAGCAAGTTCATGACTCAGTGTGGAAATGACATAGCCCAGTTCCATCCCAACTTCTCAGTTGTGTTAGAAGATATAAAAAAAAAAATGAAAAAAACTTTAATAAAGGTTTTCTCTGTGCCATCTACATCAGAATCACCAGAGCTGTTTGTTAGAAGTATGCTTGGGCCCCCTCCCACATCCTTTGAATGAGCCTTGGAAGTGGGGTCCAGAGATTCAACTGCCAACCCCAAAGCAGATAAATGTAGAAGCCAGAACTCAGTTATGCAAATACATTACTTGGCTCCCCAAGTTTATTCTGAGTTCTGTCCCTTCCATGTCCTGGATTTGATCCTCTGGGGAAATGGGGATCACTTCTAAACTAGTGTCTCACATCTTATCTGATCCTCCACTAGCTTCTCCACCAGCTAGTGCAGGGTGTTGGGGCAAGGGGCGGGGGCTCTGCCTGTTTGTACCCCCTTCCAATCTTCCCAGTCTTAGACCCAGACACTGCTGGCTTTTTAACTTAAAAGCTTAGAATTTGGTATTTTTGTCCTCTGGCTAGAGAGTAGAGTCATCTCAGGCACTAAGAGCAAGAGCTAGCACCCCACACTGTGATCTGAGGCCCTCATGGAAGCTGCTCTTTTCTTTCTTTTCACACAGGCTGAACCACCAGACATTTCTGTGTCAGTGTACAAGGACCTGGGAAGTGGCTGCTTCTCGGAGGAGAGAGCTGAGAGCATCTTATCTTAGATCTGCTGAGTCCCCACACCCAACACACACACTCACCCCAGCCAGCTGGGAAAGGACACCTCTGGTGACACAGCCAGTCCCCAGGCTTCTGCTAGGAGGGGGTGGGGCGCTGCATTGGGGAGGTTCTCACATCCGCAGGCCCTGGGAAGCCTGGGTAGGGGAGGGAAGAAGCTGGCTCCTGTTTGTTTCAGGGACCAAGACCAGAGCCTCCCCTCCTTACCTTTCCAGGAATACAGTGAGCACCCCCACTAGGGGTCCCTAAGATGCCTCTTTATTCATTCTTGAGATTTGCCTTCACCCACCACAGCGGATAGGCAGCTCACCTAGTCCTGTCTTCTGGCTGCAGTGCCAGACCTGCTAAGAATGAGCTGGGTGGGCATGTATAGCTGCTGCCTCTGTTTAGAGGAACTAAAGAGATCAGTTAGGGGTGGAAGGGGCCCTGGATAATCAATCTCCTTAACCATGTTCCACATCAAGCCATTTAAAAAATATGTATTTAGTGCCTACACAGCTAACGCATTTTGGGTCCAGAGGCAGGACAGGAACTGATAAAGGTCACACCTATGAGGCTAATCCGCATGTAAAGTAGTCCCATGTAACCCGGTGCTGCAGTCGCCCCCCTTGCCTACTGTTCTTGTTCTGCTTAAAAACAAACGAACAGAACAAAACAAAACAAACCCCGTCCCTTTCAGCCCAGGCCCTGCACCTGGAAAAAAAGGCTGAGCCCCCTTCTTGAGGCCAGGGTAGCTGACCCAACTCTGAGCAAGAGCTAGGTTTTAGCCAGTCTGCAGCCACCACGTGAATCAGCCCCAAGAAGCAGCCTCATGCCCTCCTCCCTGGAGTCCCAAGCTTGCAGTACGGCCTGGCTTTCCAAATACCCCGGTCTGAACTCCACTTGTGAGGTGAATCTTTCACACCCACAGTGACTTGGCTGGGGTGTGGAATAAGAGCCTACCTCATCTCCTTTCCTTCATAACCCCCTACTCAGCGGCCAGGCGCCTTAGACCTTTGAAACATCCGCCTGCGGTGTGACAGATTGGTTCCCAACTACCACCACGCCACTGCACGTCAGCGGCAGAGGTCCAGCTTTGTCCTGGGACCAGTACTTGCCTTTTCTGATTTCCCACCTCTAGCCCATGCCAAGGGCTAAAGGTGGGTCACCGGGCATTGGGAGCTGGGCGTGAGACCAGTGTGAGACCTTGGGCTGTGTGGAGTGCAGACTGGTTTAGAGTTTTCACGATAGGAGGGAGGACGTGGTTTGCGGATGTGAGGTGCCGTGAGTGAGAAAGTGGCAGAGTCGTGTGGGTGGCTGTGCAGGCTCTGGTGAGACAGGCAGGCTGGCGGTGGGTGTGCGGAAGCCGCAGAAGTCAGGTTGCGGAAGATGCGAGAGGATCCGCGGCGCTAGGCCCACGGCTGCGCTGGCACGCCCCCCACCCGCCGCGCCCCGCCCCGGCGGCCGGGCTCCCGACCAGTCGCCACTGCGCCCCACCCCCGCCCGCAGTGCCCGGATGTGGGTGACGTGCAGCCGCCATCTTCCCGTCCCCGGTAGCCAGCGCCAGTCGGAGCCAGCGCGAGCCGCCATCCCTGTCGCTGCCAAGTCCTGCGCCCGCTGCCCCCGCCATGTGAGTCGGCTGTCCTTGCCCGCCCCAGGCTAGCCTGCGCCGGGCGGCCGCCCTGGGGCCGAGCTTGGCTCGCCCTCGGAGGCCGGGCCAGCGCCCGTGACTGCGCGCAGGCAGCGGGAGAACCCTGCCGCCCTGGCTGGTCGCGCAGGCCGTGGCTGCGGGAGGAAGCGGACCCGGCGTCTGCCCGCCCCTGCCATCACAGCTGCCGGTCATTTCGGGTCCACCCCTGACCACGTCTGTGAGGTCGCCCTCATTTGACAAGTGGGGAAACTGAGGCCTGGAGGGGGGAGGGGGCCCTCACTCAAGGTCACACAGCGCGTCGGCGTCGGACGGAACCTAGGGCTCAGGTTGGGTGGCCTTCCGGGAAGGAGGACGGGAGGGACGGATGTATGGACAGGGGAATGGGCGGAGTCCTGGCTGCGGGGCCGAAGGCTCCAGGCCCAGGGTCTTAATCCGTCCTTGCTCCTCAGGTCGGCTACCGCTGCCACAGCCCCGCCTGCCGCCCCGGCTGGGGAGGGAGGCCCCCCTGGGCCCCCCCCAAACCTCACCAGTAACAGAAGACTGCAGCAGACCCAGGCCCAGGTGGATGAGGTGAGTTGGGTTTGGGTGGGGGCAGCTAAAGACAGTCGGAAGGACACTGAGGGTTGGCAGACCAGTGCGGGTGTCCATCATGGGCTGGGGGTGATGGTAGTTCACGTTTATGAATTTTGGGATAAAAACATACTATGCCCCATCCGTGACTGTGTACACTTGGAAGGGTCTTGAGGTGTTAGCCTTTCTAGCCTGGGGTGTTTCAGCTTGGGCAGGTTAGAAGTACCGGGCAGGCAGCTTGAAACTCCATACATAGAGGGTGTTGCTATGACATTTGAGATATCTGGCTATCAGCATGCCCCTGATGTGTGCTCCTTGCATGTCCCCAGGTGTGCTAGGCATGTTCTGTATGTATCCTTGGCATGGTAGCCTGGCAACAGCGGGGTGCATGTTCCCTATGTGGGCACGTGGTCGAGGAGTGCCCTCATTGAGGCGGGCCTTGGCACACCCCCTGCCTCGTGGGCCCCTCCTCCAGGTGGTGGACATCATGAGGGTGAACGTGGACAAGGTCCTAGAGCGGGACCAGAAGCTTTCGGAGCTGGACGACCGTGCAGATGCACTCCAGGCGGGGGCCTCCCAGTTTGAAACAAGTGCAGCCAAGCTTAAGCGCAAATACTGGTGGAAAAACCTCAAGGTAAGTGTGGAAGCAGGTAGGACTGGTGGATGAATGGGGGTTTTATGGTCTGTCTCACTGACCCTCCCCTCTTGCCCCCAGATGATGATCATCTTGGGAGTGATTTGCGCCATCATCCTCATCATCATCATCGGTGAGTAGGGCGGGAGTGGCTAGGGCCCTTTCTTTGGAGAGGTTTCCCCTATGAGTTCTGGGTTTTGAAGGTCATTAAGCTAGTTTTTACTATTCAGCAAAAAGCATATATAGCTGCCATTGGCAGTTCTGATTCATGTAGAACCCAAAACCTTGATGTTATTTACCCTGTGCTTTGCCTAGTTCTGGGCAATTCTGTTAAGTATTTGGAAACAGGAAAGCTAGTGGATTCCCACTGCTCCCTTGAGGACCCTTTAGGCCTAAGAGCCTAGTCTGGGAACCCTGGAATTGGGGGATAGGAGAGCAGGAAAAGCCCAAGGGCTCGAGACATGGCTAGGAAACCAACCACCCAATTGTTTAAGAGCTTGTGGTCTCAGATGATTAGGGGTCTGTGGCCCCAAGGCCATACCGTGGGGTTGAAGAGACTTTGGAACCACCATCCAGCCTCTTTGCTTTATAGGTAGAGAACCTGAGGCCCACAGGGGAAGGGATGTCAGCCAGCCGGGGAGTGGGGAGGATGGGAGCAGGCCCGGCCTGACCCACAGCTTTCTCTCTCTTTCTCCCCTCTCCCTCTTCTTCCTTCTCTTTCC